CCAATCCTGTTTCTTACTATAAATCTCAAAAGTCCACACACCACTCCACAATATTATTACATTCAACATTTATTCAAAATTTTGAAAAAAAAAAGCATTTAATCATTGCACAATTTAGCTCGTTGTCAGTGTTGTATATTGTTGGCTAGACGATATGCAGCACCCGATAGCCCAGAATCCATAACTTGGCAATAGCTGCCTTTATCACTTGACGATCGACTAGTCAGGCTAGACAGCTTAAGCGTTTCTGAACACCCAAAGCAATATTATTTCATAAAATAAAATAAAAACAAATATTTGTGTAGCACAATATTGTTTAATCTTACTTTTCATGCAATAATGTTCGCAATAGCAAAATACTTCATCGAACCCCGGGTATTGATCGCAGTGTGGATATGGGCTAAGTCCGTCAAAGTAATCGTAACACAATTGAGAGCAACACTCTGGAGAGATGCTTTTTCCGCAAATGCCTAAAATACTTACGCATGTGTACGGTGGTGATGGCGGCCTTTCCACATCCTTTGATCCACCTAATCGTCTGTTTTTGTCACCTGCTTACATAATCACAACGTGAAATAATTCACGCACAATTATTTTAAGTTATTTGACAATGTTTATAAAAGAGTTAAGTTATAAGGATTAGTTTGTAAGACATTAATCATCAATATTTGCAAAAACCATATGTACCTTGAACCGAAGAAAGGGCTAACACTAGAAATATGAACAAAGTTGGAGTATGTTTAGACATGTTACTTTGTTATAGGTGAAACGAAGAGTTGAAATAATTAAGATTTTGTTCCTTCTCTTGCTTGTTACTATCATTTATGTGGTTTTATATATCCATAAAGTGTATGAAATCTAAAAGGTATATATGTACTTTGAAGATTTGAACAACCTACATATATATTTTGTTGATAAGTTTATGGATTACTTAATAATGTGAGGTAAGGTACTTTGGCCGGTCGTTTTAAGATGGATCTCGTCGATTTTTTTGTTTTGCTTTAGAAATTTATGCAATTTTAATATAAAACATTTAAAAGTTAACATATTTATGTTTAGACTTTGGAATAATATGGTTGAGATCACTTTTGTATAAGTTCTTTTTAGGGAGATGGTACAATCTCATTACGGAACCATTTCGTCGGGTTTGTAATCGTTAGATCAACTATTCTCAACTGTTACATGATGATCTAACCGTTACAAACCCCGATGAAATGGTTGCGTAACTGAACAATAACACTTTCTTCTTTTTTAAATGGACTTCTCTAAAATTAACTACTCCAATGGTCTCCATTCATTGTTTCTATAGATTAGAGTTTTTGGATAAATAATTATCTATAAATTCATATTTAATGTAAACACCAAATGCCAATTAATTAATTAAGGTCGATTTAATGATGGAGTATTCGGATCTGGGACCTGACACGGCAATGGAGAGTCCAGTCACCGGCCGTCCACCTGATAAACCTCCCGACACGCCGTTACTTTTCAAAGGTACGAAACCCTCATTCCGAGACATCACTCTTCTTTCGAAGCCACTTCCCCCTCCGCCTCAAAAGCGAGATTTGTTCAAGGAAGAAGAAGCATGGATCAAGCTGATTGACAACGATCGATTGAAGCCGGTCTTGGAGCTGGACCCTGATTATTACGCTTCAGTTTGCCGGTCGTACGAGGATGGGCTGGTGGTCCGCCTATTAGGTAAAAAAGTATCCTATTTCTACATGAAAGAGGGGCTTAAGCGTCTGTGGAAGCCTCATGGGCACATTGAGCTAATTGATTTGGCCAATGGGTTTTTTATGGTGAAATTCACAAGAGAAGATCATCGGGACACAGCTCTGAATGGAGGGCCTTGGATGCTTTCCGGCCATTATGTCACTGTTCAGAAATGGACTCCACAGTTTAATCCTTTCAATGATGTGATTGAACACACTTTGGTTTGGATTCAGTTTTCAGGGTTAAATATCGCAATGTTCGATGAAAATATAATGTTTTGCTTGGCATCGATGGTGGGCACGCCAATCCGGATAGATCTCAATACTTCGAATGTTGAAAGGGGAAAGTATGCTCGAGCTTGCATCCAGATCGATTTGAACCAACCAGTTGTTGGCCAGGCGGGATTTCAGGGAATTTGGTACAAAGTGGAATATGAAGGCCTCTACTTACTATGCCCCTTATGCGGACGATATGGCCACAACCGAAACACATGTTCTTTTGTAAAGCCAACAGGGTCTGAGGGGCCGCTGCCCTCAAGCGATAAGGGCAAGTCCATTAGTACTGATTCGGCCATGAACTCCCCTGCCGAATTACATGACGAATAGCTTGTGAATGACCGAATGAAGAGTGGCAAACCAAACAGAAATGCAGGCAAGTGAGAGACGTCTTCTGCGCGTATGGGTGCTCCCAAGGAACATTATAAGGAGAATTCTAATCCTCAGAAACAGGTAAAACCTGCTTCCTTTAACCATTCTAAAAAGGAGGTGCCGAGAAGTTCGCGAAAGGTCATCCATACACACCAGGTGCCTTCGGTTGAAACCGAATTGACCCATGCCTCTGCAAAAAAACGTCGTCATACAGGCATAGATAAGGGAGTTATCCCTAAGCAGGCACAAGATGTCACTTCAACCTCCAAAGGGGTTTCAATTGCGAACAAATTCGAGTGCCTAAATTCGAAGGCGGGGGACACCTGTCGAGACATGGGTATGGGAGTTGAAGATATCAACAAAGGGAAGGCTTTGGAAGCCCACTCCAGACCCCCTGATGTTATTACGGGAGACCAGATTTAATTTCCTTATCATCAAATTTATGGGTTCTACGCCAAATAATTCAGCTAGCCGCTCAATTTTGGCGGGCGATAATAATCTGGATAATAGGCATATGCAGGTATTTAATGATATCAGTGTATTAATGTTCGTGGTTTAGTCAACAAGTTCTCGCAGAGACAGTTGAAGAACCTCCTGTTCCTTCACAGACCACTTTCTGTTTTGTCATGGAACCACAATGCCTCTTTCAGAGGCACGCTGTCTGGTTACATTACTGTGTGTATGACCGTGTGGCTATTGCGGAAGCGACAGGTAGAAGTGGTGGTATTTGGCTACTTCAGAGAAGAGGGCACTCATTCACGGTTTCTGTTATGCACATCTCGACCAGGACTATATCTATCAATGTCGGACGAGGTGGTTGTACATGGGCGCTTACAGGGATCTACGCCTCACCCTCTTTTCGAGAAAGGCTCAGCGACTGGGACAACCTGAAGGCGGCTCGAATGACTTGTGTAGGGTCATGGTGCGTCATAGGTGACTGGAACGAGGTTTCTGGCCCATCCCAATCCACCAGATGCTCTTTCTCACAACATCGAGCGGATGTTCTTAATGAAGTCCTACAACATTGCGATCTAACGGTTATTCAAAGCATTGGCACGCCATTTACGTGGCGTAGATCATCCACGGGAGTTAATATCCATTCTCAGAAATGCCTGGACTACGCCACAGCGGACACAGAATGGATGGCCAATTTTCCTTTCGGGACAGTGGAGACATTAAATAGAGGGAATAGTGATCATAATCCCTTCATATTGTATTGCCATCGCAAACCCAACATCCAGGGACTTCCGCAACCGCCTTTTCGTTGGCATGAGGCTTGGGCAGACCATCCTGATTATTTAAAGGTTATTACTGACAAGTGGCACCTGGGTAATGGAGACTTCTTGCACAACATGAATTCCATCAGGGAAGCCTCCATTTCGTTCAATCGGACATGTTTTGGGAATATTGGGGCTCGAAAGCACAAGATTCAAAGGAGATTGTTGGGAATCCAACGCATCCAAACTAGGGTTGATTCGGCTCGGCTCGCAATTCTTGAGAGGCATCTCCTTACGGAATATAACTTCATCCTTCACCAGGAGGAACTCATCTGGTTCCAGAAATCCCGGGAAAAATTTCTATTACACGGGGACCGTAATACGCGCTTCTTCCAAACAGCTGCCAAGATCCACAAAAATAAGTCGACCATTCATGGGCTCCAAATTAACACTGTCTAGACTTCAGAAGAAGCAATACTCAGAGGGCATGCCATTGCTCATTTTGAGAGTCGATTTTCAGATAGTTCCATCACCCTCGCGGGCTGCGAATACACGGAACCTCTTGCGCCTCCTAATCCCGACACAGAGATATCGGTTACACAGTCAGTCTCTAACATGGAAATCACGCAGGCAATCGATTCTTGTCCTCTTTATTCAGCCCCAGGCCCAGATGGCTTCCCTACTATTTTTTTCAGGAAATACTGGCATCACATTAGTCCGGACACATGTGACTTTATCCGCACTATCTTCGCAAATGGGCGTTTTACGCCCAATCTCGGATTCTCGTATCTTTGCCTGATTCCAAAGATTGCCACGCCGCTAACTATCAAAGACTACAGGCCTATCAGTCTTTGCAACGTCGTCTACAAGTTTGTGACTAAGGTGATTCTATATCGTCTGAGACCAATTCTAGTAGATTACATTGGTCCGGAGCAATCGGCGTTTCTTCCCGGTAGAGGAACTGCGAACAATGCTATTGTTCTCCATGAGATCCTTTACAAATTTAAGCAGCGCCAGCGGGGTTGTGAGTTTGCTATTAAAATTGATTTAGACAAGGCCTACGTCCGGGTGAGGTGGAAATTTCTTCGTGATTCGCTTATTCAAATGGGATTGGACACACCCTCGGTTTCTCTTATCATGGAATGTGTGACGTCCGCTCACTTTGCTATTCTTTGGAATGGCCGACCTTCGGTGGACATTTACCCTTCTCGGGGCCTTCGTCAAGGGGATCCACTCTCCCCTTACTTGTTCGTTATCATAATGGAGAGACTCACTAGAACCATCAATCGGGAGGTCAGCGCGAGAAATTGGGACCCAATTGTGTTGTCGCGGGGAGGCCCGATTCTCAGCCATTTGTTATTTGCGGATGATGTTATCCTTATGGCCCAAGCTAATCTGGCCACGACCCAAACAGTAAATACAGTTCTCAAAGCTTTTACGGAGGAAGCAGGACTTGCAATCAACTTGAGCAAGTCTCAAATCATTTTTTCAGCGGCGACTTCAGAAAGAAAGCGTAATCGGATTTGTCACCAGCTATCCATTCCCTCGACGGAGTCTTTTGAGAATTACTTGGGTTTTCCTATCATTGCTGGGAGACGGAAGGTATCTCACTTTGAATTCATTATTGAACGCATCTCTCGGCGGCTGCCCCCGTGGCGTGCTAAATTCCTCAACAAGGCGGCCCGGACTACTCTAGCACGATCGGTTCTCTGCACTATTCCGGTATACTTTATGCAAATAGCATGGTTTCCAGAGATAACCTGCCAGCAAATTGATAGCATTATTAAGAGATTTATTTGGAAAGACCGAGATGGACGAGGCTTACATCTAGTTAATTGGCAAACTGTGGTGACGCCTCGCCGCTCGGGAGGACTTGGTATTCGTAAAACGCGACAGATGAACATTGCAATGTTGGGAAAAAAAGTTAGCGAATATATCGACGACACTTCAGCGCTTTGGGTTGACGTTTTGTCGGGTAGATTCGGCAGGGGATATGAGGGGATCAATAGGCCCAAGACACAATCTTCTTCTGTCTGGACTGCCTTGAGGAGATGCTTCTCCATCCTTGCGACTGGCTTCACCTTCAGGCTTGGTAATGGGGAGACCAACTTCTGGGACGGGATCTATCTCCAAGGTAAATCCATCAAATTTCTTGTTGACTATGTGCATATTTCGGACTCCGACAAATCTTGCCGTCAAATGATTGTTAATGGGCGGTTGGATATTCAATCGTTGCACACAATCTTCCCAGCGCATATTAATAAGGCCCTTATGGAAGTTAGGAATTTATATCTTCATCCTTCCGTGTCAGACAGATGGTGTTGGTCGGTTGGTAGTAAAGGTAAATATTCAGTGACATCTTGCTATGAATGGTTAATAAATCAGGATGCGAATGCGAATACGAAATGGAAAAATATTTGGAGGCCCGACGTTCCAGAAAAAATTAACTTCTTCTGATGGCTCATTGGGCATCGGTCGCTTCCCACGAAGGCGCTTCGGCACCAACGACAACTAGATTCTACGGGACGGAGACGGAGACATGGGTGCACGTGTTTTTTTCATGCCCGTGGACTGTTCAGATTTGGGCCGGGCTAATTCAGCGGGGTTTTCCTACACGGCTGGCCCACTCTATTCCCTCTGATAACCAACCTCTTGAGTTCATCGCCAAAGCGCCGGTGGGGTTGCGTTTTGCTCTTTGGTTTATGTGGTTGGAGAGGAATAACAGGGTGTTCGGAAATCCGTCCGACACTCCGTGTGCTGTTGTCCTAAAAATTCTTTCGTTCTTTCATTGGTGGAAGGAGACAAGAATGCGGGCGGATAGGCATGTGGTTGGGCTTAGTCATGATAGTATTATGAAAACTGTAACATGGAATTTGTTTTTTTGTACGGGCATAATCTTGCATACTGACGGCTCGTCCATGGGTAATCCGGGTCCGTCCGGCTTCGGAGCCGTCCTGCGCAGTCCCGAGGGCGTGTGGATTGAGGGGATTTCAGGAAACATAGGTATCACCGACAACACCCTCGCCGAGATGGTCGCGATTCTTGAAGGGTTAAATTTAGCAGTGGCCCGGGGATGCACAACGCTCACTTGTTACTCCGATTCGCAAGAGTCTCTCCGACTGATACAAAGGGAATCCGTACCAACTCATGCTTTGGGCGGGCTGATCATGAACATCAGAGATAAGATTAATATGATGGAGAGTGTGCGGTTTTTTCACATATGGATAGAGGGGAACTTCGTGGCAGATATTTTGGCTAGAAAGGGGGCCAAGGACGAAGCATTCTTCACTACTTGGGCTTTTCCCCCGGATGAGCTACTAACTCCGTTGGCCAAGGACGCGGCTTGGTTCTCTTACCCGCGTGTTTAGCATATATAGTTATTGTTTTCATTTTCTTTTTACTTCTTTAGCTTGTATCGGCGTTGCCGTTTTATTCCAAAAAAAAAAAAAAAAATTAATTATTCAAATGGACTTTTCACGTGCTTACGAACAAGCTATGTCTGATGCTATATGACTTCCTCACGTGTCAGTGTGTCACTCACTACAACAAAAATAACTTCTAACAACACAAATATAGTGACTTTTTTAATAAGTGTAATTAAAATTAAAGTTAATGCGACACTTTTTAAAAAGTATTACAAAAATAAAATAATAACAATACTTTTTGTAAAATGTAATAAAATCATATCCCTTTTTAAAAAATGTGTCACCATATTAATATTTATTAGGACATTTATTAAAAAATGTCATTAAATAGTGACATTTTGTATCAAAGTATCATCTTACTTATTAATATGACAACATTTATTTCAAAGTGTAATTATTTTTGACACATGCAATTGTCATCATTATATTTTGACACATACACGTGTAGCTTTAATTTTTCTTAAAAGCTCAACCATGCTTAGAAATCAACCAGGAAACCATGGCTAACAAAAATTTATAATTAAGAAATATTACAAAATTCAAAAATATCAGATTTCTAATCTAATTCTAACCCTGGTGATTCCTCGTCATGCAGCCCCAAATTCAAAGCCCCCTCACCGAGGTCGCCGTCGGCATCAGCCTGTCCAGTGCCACCCGCACGGCGGCGTTCCTGTCCAACTTCACTGGCCGGGTCATCTCATTCCATCTCCGCTCGTTTCCTTCCGTCTCACGGCCAGAAGGACCCTGCTCGCCTCGTCATAGTCGCGGTCACCGTCAACCTTGTTTAGTATAAATTTGGTGGGCAAGGGATAACCGAGTTACCCGACTCAGGTCGATCTCGAAGGAAGGCTATTCGGAGCTTTATCTACTAAATGATCGTCTAAATCACAAAAAGGAAAAATAAAATCCTAAACATTCTAAGCAATTGATTGGATGGTTGATTAACACTAATTGAGCACTTAAAAACGTGCAACTAATTAGAAGCAAGATCAAATGACGAGCAATTAGCAAACTAGATCACCAGAGTCTCATGCCATAACCATAACGGGATGATAATCAATCGACATACAAAATAAACGAGCTACGAGCATTAGATTGCTAACCCTAGTCGTCTAACCGAGATCAACGAGCAATTAACGACTCTATCTACTCAAGCAAGCAATCAAATTCAAGCATTTCCTCCATCATCAATCAAATCCGAATTTACCTTAATGAACATTATAAGTAAAAGCAGAGCAAAAACCGAAGTAAAGAGCTTTAAAACTAAATACTCATTCTCCCATTGCATAGACGATGAAAAACGGAGTCAAAAGCTCGAAACTTGGAAGAAACCGAAGTCGCCGGAAAATCTCCCAGAAAATAGCATAAGCTCCTAATCTAGATAGCAAAAATAAAACATAAACTAAGTTCCCAAAAGGGAAAAATGAAATAATGAGTAGTGGATCCCCAAAATACAAAGGAAAAAACATATATATAGTGTATCTCCAAAAACACACACTATGTGCACACACATTTAATGATTCAGCAGCTCGCAGGTCTCGAAATCTTGTTTGTAGCGAGTTTTGGAGTAAAAATCAACTAAAAAGTGCATTTCGCAGCTTGCCAAATGAAGTTCGCTGCGAGTGTGGCTTAGTTGCCCCAAATGTGCGGTTGGCGCGGCACAAATGAAGTTTCGCAGCGAGTGCGGGGCTAAGGTTCACTAGACGCGTTGTCAGCTTGCGAAAACACTTTCGCAGCGAGTGGTTCCATGCACTGGTGGTGTGTTTGGCGGGTTGCGAAAGGCTTTTGGCAGCGAGTGCCGCCCTGGGTGATGCGTTGTTTGGCATCTCGCGAGCTGAATTTTGCCGCGAGTTCGCGTCCTTGGGCTGGGCACTTCTCTTTACTTTGTCTCTCGGGTGATGGTTCGGATGGCTTGATTGGGTCTTTGATGGTTAGGGTGGTTCGGAATAGCTCGAAAATGGCACAAATGACTCGTCTTCCTGGAAT